CTGCTTCCCGTAGTTCTGCCCCGCTGCCGGCGACTTCCGAAAAAGCCCAATAACTGATTGGTACGAGGTAGCAGTCCGATGTCATTTGGTTCGCATCTCTGATCTCTGCTGCCGAGCGGAGGGCCGCTCGCTGGAGTCTGTTGATGCACCCTCTGAGGGCGAACTCCTCGTAGTCTTCCGCTGCGCATGGCTGGCGGGGGGGTCTGCGCCCCCCCCCCCCCCCGCCTTTGCTGCCCCCCCCCCGTCGCCGCGGCCGCGGCCGCTGGCGGGCAGTCCGCCGCCTTGGCGCTGGCCCCTCCTGTATGCCACTGGTTGTGGTGCTGCGGTTATCCTTCCATCTCCGCGCTTGCTCCTCTCTCGGCCAGGGGTGGCCCCCGCGGTGCCATCGCCAACCTTCGCGCACCGTGGGCCAGGATGATGCCAGCGCGCGCGCGCCCGAAAGCCTCCCAAATATTGAGCCTGAAAGCCACAGAGGGCGCAGACAAGGGACATGGGAAAGAGACTCTTGGACCGGGTGGTTCCAACAACTTCTGCTTTTGCAGCGCATCCCGTGGCTCTCCGCGGCCCTCATGACATGGCTGGTCGTTATTTGTTGCATTGGCGCGAAGAGCTCAGAAACCGTGGGCGTTGTTTCGCGATCACCGCGCTGGGAACCGGCGGAAGACAATCGCGCGCCACTCTCCTGCGCGCTGCCAGCGCCGCCGCCGCAGTAAATTGCGCGCCGCGCACCTGCCCTTCGGCCCCAGTTCCCAAGTTGCGCCAAAACTGAGCGACCAATTCGCCATTCATCGTGCTTTCTGGTAGAATTGCATCCGGGGCTTGTCTGCGTGGCCTAGACTACGGGGGCCCGTCCCAATCCGAGCTTCCCACTCTCTTGTGCCCTTCTAGAACGTTGCGATGTCTGATTGTCTCCGCGGGCACCAGCGTGCGACGTACTCGCGGACCTCCGCCGGCGCCTGGACATCCCTGGCCACCTGCTTTGCCCAGGGTGTAGATGCTTCGCGTAATCTGACTTGGCAGAGGCTCCTGACATGGCAAAGGCTGCCCAGCTTCGACGCGCCAAAAACTGCTGCCAACGCGCTGCCAAAGTCCTCTGGATATATCGCCCATTCTCTTTGCCACCGTAGCCTGCGGATCCTCTGCGCTGTTGAGCAGCGCGGTGTCCTCCATCTCCTGAATAGCTGCTTGTTGGCGTAGCACCTGGTCGCGCCAACTTCTTCTATCCAGCTCATCCTGCCCCCTGCCATTCTTCTCAGTAGGAACGCCATGGTACTGTCGAGTGCTTTCAAATGAAGTGCTTCCAGCACTGGCGCCGCCAATCCACTAAGGCCTGCCCCCGAGACACTCGCCTGGCACATCTCCCTCCATATCTTGTCGGTGGTATCAAGACCAGAGGCATCCACATTGTCTGTGAGCTATCTGCATGGCCTCACACCTCCACCTGATCTCTCTCGCGTTGCCTTGATCTCCTGGTAGGTGCGGCGCTGGTGCTCATCCCCCTCACTGGCGCGCCCTGGATCTTCTTCTCTCTGTCGCGTGGCCCCGTCTCGCCCTGAGCCTCGAAGGGCTGCTAGTTTTGGCCGGATTCAAGCTCCACCCTTGTCTCTCTCCAGCTTGCGCTCGAGGCGCTGCGTGGTGGCATTGATCTGCTCTGCTATCCTTCTCGCTTGGGCTCTTGGGCGATCCGAGATATCCTCGCTTTCGCCGGAAAGCCTACTGGCGGTGCGCTCCTGGGCGAGCCGAGATATCCTCGCTTTCGCCAAGAACCGACTGGTGCTCCGAGATTACCTCGCTAACTCCAGTCGCCTGCGTGGGCGGCCCCGACGAGGCCACTCCGTGGATCTTGGCGTTGTCGACCATGGACGCGTTGAGCGAGAGGTCGTGCTCTTGGTCGTTGTGGGCCCACTGTATCGCGTGCTGCCTGCATCTCGCCCCCCCCTCCTTTTTCCTTGCGGCGGCGTTGCCCCGCGCGCAGGCCGCGCGTGTCATTGAACTGCCTTGGGCGCAGGGTATATCCCATCTGCGCTCCCCGCGTTGCCCTTGCATGCAGCCAGTCGTCTGCGCATTCCATGATTATTGACGCGTAGTGCAGCGCATTGGTAGCGAACGGTAAGTCCTCCTCTTTCGACGCGGCGAAGACTGATACCACCAGGGGGTTGCGTTTCGTGTTCGCAAAGGCATTTGCGCTGGCGATGGTGATCGCCCCTGCCTGTCTTGCTCTCCATCGCGTAAATTCGACACAGGCAAATCGCGCCCTCCTTCGACATGTTCCTCAGCCCCCCCCCCCCCCCCCCCCCCCCCCCCCCCCCCCCCCCCCAGTGCCCAGCAAGGTGCTTCGTTTTTTTTTTTTTTTTTTTTTTTTTTTTTTTTTTTTTTTTTTTTTTTTTTTTTTTTACTCTCTCTTTCTCTCTCTCTCTCTCTCTCTCTCTCTCTCTCTCTCTTCTCTCTCTCTCTCTCTCTCTCGCTGCGATGCGTCCGTTCCGGAAATGCCATTCCCGTT